CCCTCACGCTGAGTGATCAAGTGGAAAATGATGAGAGCAGGAGAATGTGTCACAGGAAAGAGCACAACCTGGAGCTCCATCTAGAGTATTCAGTGGCAGGTAGACCGCGTTTGGTGCTGCCGGAGCATCAGGGAGGGCAGAGTGGCACCCCACAGCCATCCTGGAGTGGCCCAGGGGCTTCCAAGGGCAGTGACACGAGGGCCCTTCTCTCCAGATGTGGACCCTGTTTGTTGAACCCAGCGCCTTCCACACTAGGCTGGTCCCTATGCGTGACTCAAGGACTTTTTTGGGCTGCGGGTCCCAGGACAATAGAGCAGATTGTCAGACACATCAGTAAACCGTTTTCTTAGGGGAAATGAAGACTAGGTTTGGTCACGGTTTGGGCCAAGGGGCAGTGGGCTGTGTCCACCGTGTGCCCCACTGAGGCAAGTGGAGAGGGCTCGGCGGGGCAGGGCTGGAAGATTCCCAAAACCTGGCCCTGGGGGAGTGGCCAGGGAACGCTGGTCCGGGGTGACCGGCTCCTGTTTGTCCCCGCTGCAGGAGATCATTCTGAAGCGAGCGGCTGACATCGCCGAGGCTTTGTACAGCGTCCCCCGCAACCACAACCAGATACCCACCCTGGGCAACACCCCCGCACACACGGGCATGATGGGGGTCAACTCCTTCAGCAGCCAGCTAGCCGTCAACGTGTCGGAGACGTCACAAGCCAATGACCAAGGTAGACCACCGCCCCGGGCAGACCCCCTTCCCTGGACACCCTTCACGGGGTGGTTGAGGCCTTAGCTGCAGTTGGACGTGTCGGGAGCCCGGCCGGGGAGTGTCGCAGTGTCCGTACTCCCCGGCGTCGCTCACGCCCTTCCTCGGGGAGGACCTCGCTGTGGGTCCTGCCGGCCGGTGCTGGGCAGAGGACGCTCAGAGAGCCCTGTGACCACGCAGCAGCTCTGCGGGCTGCTACTCGGGCCGCTGGCATTTGCTAGAAGTGTCCCTTAACGTGTCCATAAGTGACTGTGCCTTCCCTCCGAGGCGGGGCTGAGCTGTAGGCAGCCGTGGTGTAGGGAGCCTGCCCGGACGGGGTTTGGGTCCAAGTCTGGAACCAATCCACGAGAGACACCGTGTTTCCCCACCCTGTAGCTCACCCACCGTACCACGACCGGGTCCACCGAGGCTGCTGAACCGTGTCGTTCGAGTCCCTTTTGGTTCCCTCTTCAAAGCCACACAGGCAGTAACCTCGGCAAACGCCCCACCGCGTTGGGTCCCGTCTGTCCGCGCTCCCTTGGCAGGGGGGCGTCGCTGGGCCCCCGCCCGCCCCCGTGCAGAGATAGCGACCCCTAGACAGCCTTCCAGGGACGTCACGGCCACAAACAAGCTCTCCTTGTCAGTCACGGCATTCGGAGGTCTGCAGAGGCCGAAAGTTCACAGGACGTGGGGGGCCGGGCCAGGAATCCGAGCTGTTGATAATTGCTTCTAAAGGGAAGCGCAAAGGAGGCAGCTGACGGTGAGATCTAAGTGCGCTCCGGCCGCCTGGCGGAGCCGGCGGGGCCGCGCTGGGACAGCTGCGGTCGGGTTGGCGTGCTAAGGTTAGCCGAGCTGGCTAGAGGCGCTAGGGCAGGAGGAAAGCGTAAGGTCACTTGAAAATGTTGAATATATGATATAGCTTCTCGGGGAAACCCCCCCCCAAGTGTCTGTCGCTGATAATAACGTTATTTTTGGCCGGGGGGGGATTTCAACAGTCGGCTACAGTCGCAATACAAGCAGCGTGTCCCCGCGAGGATACGTGCCCAGCAGTACTCCCCAGCAGTCCAATTACAACACAGTCAGCACTAGCATGAATGGATATGGAAGTGGCGCCATGGCCAATCTAGGGGTCCCTGGCTCGCCTGGATTTCTTAATGGCTCCTCCGCTAACTCTCCCTACGGCAGTAAGTGTCTGTTTTTGTCACACGTCATCACGCAGATTCATATTCACTACACAGTCGAGTGTGTGCATTGCTTGGGTGTTCTGTGATGTGAGCTACTGGGTAAAAGGAAGGGTGGCCCTGGAGGCTGGGCGTCAAAATGACCCAAAACGGGCCCCGAGGCGGTCTCATTGGAAACCAAACCAAAAATCGGAACAAAACGGGGCTGTTCAATTGGAAGAGAAAGTCCACCCCAAAAGGGTTTGCCTGTTATCCAGAGAGTGGCCAAGCCGGAAGCATGTGGTGTTTGTTTTTGTGCCCCTCTCGCGGTGGCGCGGTGCCGCGCCGCGTGCTGACCGTGTTTGCTTTGTTGCAGTAGTGCCGTCCAGCCCCACCATGGCAGCCTCTTCGGTCACCCTCCCTTCAAACTGTAGCAGCACACACGGCATTTTCTCATTCTCACCTGCCAATGTCATCTCCGCAGTGAAACAGAAGAGCGCCTTCGCGCCCGTGGTCCGGCCCCAAGCCTCTCCTCCTCCCTCCTGCACCAGCGCCAACGGGAACGGACTGCAAGGTGAGGCTGGCGCGGGGGCCGGGGCCGGGCC